GTGAAATGTGAAGCTAGAGGCATGGCTCAAGTGGTAGAGCTCTAGCTAAGCAAGCAAGACAAGTGAGCGCACAAAGCCCTGAGTTCAAACCCCAATAGAAAATAGAGGCTCGGGATGGTTTTGCTTCATAGAAACATTTTACCCCTGTCAAGTAATAGACTGTTCTAACCATACACAAATTCCTTCAGAGATTCAATAAAAGAGTTTTCAGAAGAAATTCACAAACTGATTCTAAAACATAGGCAGAAGAGCAAATTCCAAGGGAAAGAAAAGGCTCTGTGAATGGCCTCTGAAAAATCAGTATTTGTATAAAGCTATGATTAGCACTGTAGGGCTGGGGTGTGGCTGAGTAGTGAGGCACTGGGCTGGCATGCCTGAAATGCCTGAAGCCTTGGGCTGATGAAGAAGAAATGGTTACATAGCAGAGGAGGAAAATCAGGGAGAGAAGAAGGAAGAAGAGGGAGAGAGTTCTTGATACATCATAGGTCCTAATCCCTCTCAAGGATGTTACTCCTTGACCTTATGGCCCACTCTATCCCCACGTTGAGCATAATCTGGGCCCAGGGAGTGCTTGTAGGATCCCTGGCTATGTCAGTTATTCACTGAGGCTGGGCATGCATGCCTGTGCGGGGCTCCAGGGGTAGGGTGGGGTGGCCTTTGCCGCACTCACTTTGCCCCTCATTTAAGACTCCTGCTACCTTCCTCTCTAGACTGCCATCTGAGGCAGCTTCCCCCAAACCACCTGCCTCCTTCCTCCCTTCAGACAATGAGTTGTCAGCACTGCCACAGCCCTCTGTCTCCTCCTCTAATGCAAGAACTTCCAGGGCAGGTACTAAGTCTCCTTCACCTCTCATTTCCTATGTAGATCAGGCACACAGCATTCAGTGTAATAGTGGCTAACATTTGTCATATGCCAGGATGTGCTACACACACACACACACACACACACACACACACACACACACATATCCTTACACATTTCTTCTCCAGGCTAGCCTGGAACTCATCATGTAACTCAGCTGGCTTTGCTCATGCCCTCAGCCTATAAAGTGCTGGGATTACAGGTGTGAGCCACTAAGCACGTGTGTGTGTGTGTGTGTGTGTGTGTGTGTGTGTGTGTGTGTGTGTGTGTAGTCTTGAAAAGTGATGTGCTACTCTAGATGCCATTAGGTTGACAGAAACAAAACTCAAACAAGCTGAAGCTAGAAGTGAATTTACTGGCTCAAGAAAGGGAAAAAACTAGAAATATATATGCGTTCAGGCACAGGATCCAGCTACTCAGGGAAGTAGCAAACAGGTTTCCTTCCTCCCTCCTCAGCTCCGTTTCTCACTGCCTAGCTTCGTTTTGTCAGCAAGCCCTCTCTAGCCAGGGGGAAACTCGCTGTCAGCAGTCATGACAGCTTAGCCACCACAGTGGCAAATCCCAGCATTTCCACGGAGTCAGCAGAAACTCGAGGTCTCTGATTGGTTTGTCTGCCTACCTGCTGACAGTGAGTGGATGAGTATGTTTGACGTATATCCCCAAAAAGAACCAAAAGGAAAGAAATGGGAAGCCTCTCCCATGGGAGGAGGAGCTACAGTTGCTCCATTGTATAAGTGGTGAAATGGGCCTTGAGCTCTGAGTGAAATGAGTGGCCCAAAGAGAATTTCAAGGGATTGGTCTGATGAGGAGGAGGCCTGCCCTTCTTGACGCTAACCTGTTGCCCAATCAGCTTCCCTTCCCTCCTACTCTTCCAACGCTGTGGCTCCAGTCTTTCCCCACCCTCTTCTTCTCTTCTGCTGGGACCAGATCAGCCATAAAAATCCAGGACAATGTTTGGGCGCTTGTGGCTCACGCCTGTAATCCTAGCTACTCAGGAAGCTGAGATCTGAGGATCAGGTTCAAAGACAGCCCCAGCAAGAAAGTCTGTGAGATTTTTATCTCCAATGAACCACCCAAAAACTGGAAGTGGAGGTTTGACTCAAAATGGTAGAGGGCTAGCTTTGAGCAAAAGAGCTTAGGGACAGCACCTAAGCCCTGAATTCAAGCCTTGGGACAAAAAAAAAAAAAAAAAAAAAAAACCAGGACACCAGAACCTGGGCAGTGCCAAAGACAAACTGACCTCCCTCTGATCTGTATCTTACCTAAGGAAAGAGCTCTTTTTTTTTTTTAAAGTACCACACTAGTGACCAAGGAGCAATGCCCAGAGCCTTACCCACCCCAACAAGCCACACAAACTCATTCCTTGCTTAGTTTGGGGCAGCCTGATGGCTCTCTTCCCTCTCTGAAGAAAAGCTCCTGAAAAGCTCTACCTGGATAATATTAGCATCTATCTTGTGACAGAACTAAATAAAATAGTTCAAACATAGTGTGCACTCAGCCCACAGCCTAACACAAGGGAAGAACTACATAGATGTCAGCTGCCTCCGGGGTAACTACTGGTTGACTTAAAAAGCCCATGATTCAGATTCTAGAATTTCTGGATGGTTCTCCTTGTAGAAAAAAGGCCTAGGGTCAGGCCGCCACACTTGATAATCTCCTAGGCTTTAGTTTACCTTTTCTCTTCCCCCCTCCACCCTTCTTGGGCTTAAACTCAAAACCTGAGAGCTTTTGTGCTAAAGGCTAGTGCTCTACTGCTTGAGAGCTCCACTTCCAGCCCCCCCCCCCCCCATGTGTATGCTTAATGGAAATAAGAGTCACATGGACTTTCCTGCCTGGGATGTCTTTGTACCACCATCCTTAGATCCTAGGTTCTAGTTCTCAACTTCCCCAGTTGCTAGGATTAAATATGTGAGCCACCAGCACCCAGTGGGTATTCCTTTTCTTAATTCTTTGTAAAGTGGAAATAACAGCATGTTTAGAATGCTGTTGATGTTACACTGGATACGGTAGCATACACTTGTCATCCCTTCTACTTGGGAAGTGGAGGTAGGAGAATCTTGGTTCAGGGCCAACTCTGGGCCTGAAAAATGAACAAGGACTGAGGGTGTGGCTCAAGTGGTAGAGAGCACTTACTAGACAAGTTCAAAGCTCTGCATCTCAATACCCAATACTACACACACACACATATCATCTAGGAGGAATTTGCAACTAGAGAGGGAGCAAGTACCTTTGTGAGGGATGGACATCAGGAAGTGGGAGAGGAGCTGACTTGGAGAAGGAAGGGAGGAGGAAATGAAGCAAGTCTTGCCTAACTCCACAGTGATCTCGCAGCTGTTTGCCTGTGGCTGGGAGCTTGTGATCCAGGACCCAGAAATGCTGGGCTGTAAAGCACAGAGATATCAGCATGCAAGACACAGTGTGGCTTTATCTACCCATCCTGTCCCCTCTCTGTTTCTCCCTGTTCCCTTTCTCAGCCCTACCTACCTGCTGGGGACCTCTGTCTGTAAAATGGATGCACAAGCAATTGTCATTGGGTCCTTACCACCACAACCTGCGATGTTGTCTGTGCCTCCATTTCCACAGCCAAGCAAACTGAGGTTGAGACATAGGCTCCAGATGTAGCTTGAGGCTAGAGTGCTTGCCAAGCATGCACAAACCTCTGAGGTTTGAATTCGAATTCAAGCCAGAGCTAGGGAAACTGAGATTCTTGTCCTTCTGTAGTCTCGGGATGGAGAACAGAGATTGTCACTGTCTTTGTTGTAGATTAGGAAATTGAGGCTCAGGAATGTCAAGGGAACTGCCCAAGTTTGTTGATGGAGAAAGTGGTAAAGAAGCCTGGCACTGGTGGTTCATGCCTGTAATCCTAGCTACTCAGGAGACTGAGATCTGAGGACCGAGGTTGAAAGCCAGCCGGACTCAAAAGTCCGTGAAACTCTTTTTTTTCTTTTTCTTTCTTTTTTTTTTTTGGGGGGGGGGTCCAGTCGTGGGGCCTGAACTCTGGGCCTGGGCGCTGTCCCTCAGCTCTTCAGCTCAAGGCTAGTGCTCTACCCCTTGAGCCACAGCGCCACTTCCGGCTTTTTTTCTTTTTGCTTATGTGGTGCTGAGGAATCGAACCCAGGGCCTCAGGCATGCAAGGCAAGCGCTCTACCACTGAGCCACTTCCCCAGCCCCCAAGTCTGTGAAACTCTTATCTCCAATGAACCACTCAAAAACCAGAAGTGGCGCTGTGGCTCAAGCAGTAGAGCACTTGCCTTGAGCTAAAGAGGGCAGGGACACCGCCCAGAGTTCAAGCCCCATGGCTGACCTAAAAGAAAAAAAAAAGTGGTAAAGAGCAGGACGTAAACCAGAGTGGAAGAGTGGAAGATCTTGAAAGGTCACCTCCAATTGAAATACTTGTACATCCTGGGTAAGGGGCAGAGAGAAATTAAATATAAACCACTGAAAGACACTTCATCATCTTATGACTGATTTTGATAACTTCTGACTTGGGAAGCCATAATGGTTGCCCACATCAGGCCCTTTCAACCTAAAATAAAAAATTAAAAAGTCATCCATTAGCTGGGCACCAGTGGCTCACGCCTGTAATCCTAGCTACTGAGGAGGCTGAGATCTGAGGAGCTCATTCAAAGCCAACCTGGGCAGAAAAGTCTGTGAGACTTTTATCTCCAATAAACCACTAGAAAACCGGAAGTGGCGCTGTGGCTCAAGTGGTAGAGCGCTTGCCTTGAGTTGAAGAGCACAAGGACAGTGCCCAAGCCCAGAGTTCAAACCCCGTGACAGACAAAATAAAAAAAAATAATAATAAAAATAAAGTCATCCATTATCCTGAAATCCCTTTGAGTCTGGAACTCTGAGATCTCACACAGATTTAGCCCACAGCCTTCACCTCCCTGGGAACTATGCCCACAACTCCCCCCTCTCCCACTCCCTGCAATGTGGCACCCACCCCGTGGACTCAGTTCCACTGACCCAGACCCTCTCTCCTCCCTCCAGGAGAGGGCACCCAGCCGCGCAGGGTGGACCCTGCTGCAATCTTGCCAGCCACACCCTCCCCTCCCAGGTCCAACCCAGTGTTGTCCCAGCCCAGGTCCCGGGTCAGGCACAGGGACACACCCCGGGGGCGGAGCCACCTCCTCGGGGCCAGCTCAGGCCAGCAGCTCCCGCTTCTGCTCATCCGTCCCCGGGACCGGGACCGACATGGCCCAGGAGCCTCCCTCCTGCGCCCTGGAGCCCGAGCACGTCCAGCGGCTTCTGCTGTCCTCCCGCGAGGCCAAGAAGTCAGCCTACTGTCCCTACAGCCACTTCCCCGTGGGGGCCGCCCTGCTCACCCGCGATGGGAGGGTCTTCTCTGGTAAGTGCGCCCTGGTCCCCACCTGGTGGAGGGGGACACACGCAGGCCTCCTGGCCCCTCCCAGCCTCCTGTCCTAGGGCTGTGGGGACAGCCGGGCAGCTGGCTGGGGAAGAAAGTTTACAAGGGAGGTAAAAAGGAGAGAACAAGACAGATCATGAGCAGCCCCGGCTGGCTGGCTGGACTTGGATTAAAGCAGCCTCCTGTGATCGCTGACAGTCCTCACCTGTGATCCCCTCCCCCCCACCTAAGATTGTGCCTTGAGGGGCTTGAACCTGAGGTCTTTTGAACCCAGGTGCTGTCCCTGATGTCTTTTCCTCAAGGCTAGTGCTCTACCACTTTGAGCCATGGACAGCCCCACTTGTGGTTTTCTGGTGGTTATTTGGAGGTAAGAGTCTCATGGACTTTGCTACCTGGGCTGGCTTTGAACCGTGATCCTCATATTTCAGTCTCCTGAGTAGCTAGGATTACAGGTGTGAGACATCCGGTACCGGCAGTATGCTTGTCTTTTAGATGAAGAAACAGGCCCAGAGACTTGCACAGGAAGCACAAGACTGGCGTCTACAAAGCCCTGTGGCCTCCACCTTACACCTCTTCTCAGGCCTCCTTTTGTTTTCATTGTGTTCTTTGAGATCATTTGGTCACTTTAAACCCTAGAACTAATGATCTTCCGGTCTCCACTGTCCAAGTATCTGGGATTACAGACACATGCCACCACATGTAAACAGTCACCACCTCTTCCTGCACCGAGGGTGCTGGGCATAGATGGGGAGCACGGGGGAAGGGCAGAGCTGTGCAGGCCTGGCGGACCATCTTAGAGGAGAGCAGCCAGGCAGAACCTGGGTGATCAGCAATATGTCTGTGTGGATCTGCTTCTGCACACCTTTTCTTCAGCTAGTTGGTTTTGGAGACACGCCCACCCAGGCAGGGCCTGCAACTCAGTGGTAATGTGCTTGCCTTGCAGGGGCCAGGCCCCAGGGTTCACAGAAATAAGCAAATAAACAAAAGTCACCTGAACAAAAGTTCAAACTCATCTTTTCAAGGTTCAGGGGCATTCCCACTCAGGACCACAGGCAACGGCTGGTGAAGCTGTCATGACAGGTCCCAGTGCCTTGTCTCTGGAACTTAGAGAGGTTTCACACATCACCTGTTTTGCAAACATCTTGGAGAAGTGACATTGATTTAGTGCTAAAGTTGTGATAGAAAGATCAATGATATCCATTTAACCTTAACAGCCTTGCAGGCAGAGATGAAAACTGAGGCTCAGCAAGATAATAAGTGCCTCAAGTCACAGAGTTGCCATTGTGACTCACAGTTCCAGACGCTAAAGTCTGCTGCTTTGTGAGGGGCAAAGGATCTGAGTGTCCCACTGAAACTCAGCCCCAGCTTGTTGACCTGATGAGTGTTGATCATTAACCAGCACTGCAAATATCCTTACAGCCTGGATGTGGCAGAGGCTTGAAGATAGAATCATCTGATGTTTTACAAAGCCCCCTACCATCCCCTCTTCCCCCCACCCAGCGTGTAGAAAGCCCCTCGCACCTCCGCCAACCCTTGCTGGACACTTACTATGTGCTAACATCAGTCCCATCTCCGTGCCACCCCCACCACCTCTCCCTGACCACTGGACTTTGCACTGCAGAAGGTGAAGGCTAGATCTTGGATCTATGTACCCTTGATCCTCCCCTACATAACACCTTCCAGCCCCTCGGCAAGCACTCAACCATGGTGTCTTGACTGAGGCCTGACTGGCCAAGTAAGGAGCTGGCCTTAGCGAGGCAGGAGGAAGAAGCATCCAGGGTAGATGGTAGGCAGCACCCAGCCTGACAGGCCGCAGCATTTTCTGGCCCAGGGGTTCTTGTGTCTGTCTTTCATACTGGGATGTGCAGTGGTATTTAGGGTGAAAGCTCTGGAGTCAGACACCCCTGAGTTGGAATCCTGCTGTGGCTCTATGGCATCCCCCTTCTCAGCCTAAGTTTACCCATTTTGTAATGTGGCTCAGTGGTACCCATCTCTCACAATTGCTGTAAAAGAGCTGGCATTTGATGTTTATGCTTGGCATAGGGTAGCAGTCAGCACCCACCATGCTTGTTGGAGCCTGGGCTGCATCAGTAATGGAATATATTCATTCTGACCTGGGATTGTGCAGTTTTGGTTTTGGTTTATTTATGGCAATACTGAGCTTTGAACTCAGGGCTTGTGCTTACTGAGAAGGCTCTCTACCACTTGAGGTTTTTCTAGGTAGGGTCATGCATTTTTGCCCAGGGCTGGCTTCAAATTTGATCCTCCTATGTAGGGTCTCCCACATAGCTGTGATGGCACAGGTGTGAAATGGGATCTCTCTAATTTTTTGCCTAAACTGGCCTCAAACAGCAATCCTCTCAATTCCAGCCTGGCTTCAAACTGTGATCCTCAGATCTCAGCCTTCTGAGTAGCTAGGATCACAGGTGTGAGCCGCTGGTGCCTGGCTTAAAGATGAGCTTTTAAAAAAATATTTTATTATTTTATAATCCCTTGGCTTTACAGCTGAATTAGATTCCAGGGTCATTTGCAGTGGGCAGAGGTCAAGAACATGATAGCAGAAGTAGCTCCTCCCCAGTGGACATTTCTCTAGGCCGGGGACTCTCAAGTGTGGACACAGATGCTTGGCCTTAGCATCTCCTTGCTAGAAACACAATGTGTGTCTTCTAACTCAGATCTACTGAATCAGAAATCCAGGAGTGGCCTATGACACCTGTTTTGGGAAATCCTTAAGAATTCTGATGCCCGGGGCTGGGAAGGTGGCTCAGTGGTAGAGCGCTTGCCTTGCATGCCTGAGGCCCTGGGTTCGATTCCTCAGCACCACATAAGCAAAAAGAAAAAAGCTGGAAATGGTGCTGTGGCTCAAGTGGTAGAGTGCTAGCCTTGAGCTGAAGAGCTGAGAGACAGCGCCCAGGCCCAGAGTTCAGGCCCCACAACCGGACCCAAAAAAAAAAAAAAAAAGAATTCTGATGCCCACTTGTGGGTCTCCAAACTGCTTTGATTTCATTAAGATTCCTCAGGAAAGAGAGTGGAGACAGTGCCTCGGGCTTAGGGCCCACGTTGTCCTGTTGAGATCTTCCTTCTTGATGATGTTGCCAAGAATCCCCCACTCAGGCCCTGCCTTAAAGCACCAAACAAGCTCATAAACCAGCCTCTTTGAAATGCCACAGAGCATAGAACAGTCTTTGTATGTGACAGGCTGGTATGTGCATCCTGGCATCCTGCCACCAGCTTTGGTTTATCCCTTCTGGAAGTGCCTGCCTTGCCTGGTCAGTGAGAACTGACCCAGCGCTGCACTGAGGTCCTGGCAGATGTGAGTCCAGGCAACCATGAGGAATAGCAGCACTTTCAGCTCAGGGCTCTGTGGTCCGGGCTTAAAAGGATGGTTTCTATTTGGAATCCCCCCAGCTGGCCCTCGTGTGTGCTTCATAGTAAGCCAGGACCACACCAGCAATGGAGCTATTGGTGGTCTTTCAGGACTGCAGTGTATGACCTTCCTCTGTACCCTTCTCCCCCCTTTTCACACTTGAACTTGCTAGAGGCCCTAAATACAGTGATTTTTTTTTTTAATTATTGTGACAGGATTAAGGCTTGAACTCTCCATCTCTCAGCTTTTTAGCTCATGGCTGGTATTCGACCACTTGAGCCTCCAGTTTTGACTTTTGCTGGTTAAATGGAGTTTTCTATCCAAGCTGGCTCTGAACCTCAGTCCTTAAATCTCAGCCTCCTGAGTAGCTAGGATTACCAGCGTGAGCCACTCGTGTTTGTCTTCCAATGATTCTTTTTTTTTTTGTCGGTCGTGGGGCTTGAACTCTGGGCCTAGGCACTGTCCCTCAGCTCTTCAGCTCAAGGCTAGCGCTCTACCACTTGAGCCACAGTACCACTTCCCCCAATGATTCTTTTGTATCTGGCACTGAAATGGGAAATTCCATCTGTTCAATAATAGTAACTGTCTTAGTCTGCTCAGGACTTGATACTAGGCTGGATGGCCTAACCAACAAACTCTATTCTCATAGTTCTGGAGGTTGGGAAAGCAAGTTCAAGGTGCCTGTAGATTCAAGGGTTGGGGGACCCTCTTCCTATCCCAGAACCTTTCGCGGTGTCCTTTTGTGGTATAGAGAGGGAATCTGGGTTCCTTATCATAAAATGAGATGATCTTTTCATAATTTCATCACAAGGCTCCCCTGCCTGACCTGGCTCCATCCACTCGTAATCCCCTCCCAAGGCCTTTCCCCACGGTGGGGAGAGATTCAGCATTGGAATAGGGTGGGGACGTGAGAGTAATCAAGAGCCTCACTCTTCTGGGTTCTGAGAATACTACTTGGATTCCAATGGGGGAATTAACTAATAGAGACTTATTTCTGGAAAGGGTTGAGTGTTGTGAAGAAAATTATAGGAGGATAAATGGATTGAGAAATTGTAGAGGGAAGAGGAAATTTTTTGACAGGGTGATCAGGGAAGGCTTCTCTGAGGCGGTGAGTTTTGAGCAGACAGCTATGTGCACATAGTGGGTCAAAGGACACAATAACAGCAGTTGAGTTTCAAGGTGTCTGTTGGCTTGATGATCAGGCAGCACTCCCTTCCATGAGCAGAGCTGAGGTGGCTGGTTTTATAGAGAGAAAAAGGAAGCTGACACCAAGGACAATAATCACATTGTTTGATTCAATGTTACACTCCTTCCTAGGTGGTGTGTTGGCCAGCTGTGCATCACTATTGGGGAATACCTGAGGTGGTTCGCTTAGAGAAAAGTTCTAGATGGGACTGGGAAGGTGGCTCAGTGGTAGAGCGCTTGCCTTGCATGCCTGAGGTCCTGGTTTTGATTCTTTAGCACCACATAAGCAAAAAGCCGGAAGTGGCGCTGTGGCTCAAGTGGTAGAGTGCTAGCCTTGAGCTGAAGAGCTGAGGGACAGTGCCCAGGCCCAGAGTTCAGGCCCCACAACCGGACCCCCCCCCCCAAAAAAAAAGTTCTAGATGTTCCAGTACAAGATCCAGTGGCCCCACGCTTTGGGCTTCTGGCAAGGGCATCACATGCTGGGGAAGCCTCCCATCTGGCCACTCTGGAAGCAGTGAGAAAGAGGAGTAGTCCAGGTCCTCGAAGTCCCCGCTGAGGGCTTTGCAGGACACTGAGGCTTGGCAATCCTACTGGCCTTCTGTGTAATTGCTTAGATCATCGATCACAGGGCCAAAGACCTCATAGGAGACACCATGATGAATGAGCATGGCTCTGTTCCAATAAACCTTTATTAACAACCAAGCAGTAGGTTGAGTTTGGCCTGAGTGGTGGAGTTTGCAACCTTTTTGATGTAGAGTCTCCTCTCTGCTGCCCTTCTTTACCCAATCCCTTGTCCTAGGGTCTTTCATTACTGCCCTCCTCCCCCCGCCATTCCCTGCTGCTTGTCATCCAGAAAGCAGCAAGACAGGAGACCAGATTCACACAGCCCCCATTGAGGATATGTCCCAATGCCCTAAAGACCTCCTGTGAAGCCCCACTCCTAACAAGCCATAGAACTTCCCTATAATTCCACTCAGGGACCAAGCCCTCAATATGTGGATCTTTGGGAGACATCCAACATCATAAAGTGGGACAAGGAAATAGAACATTAGAAAAATAATTAATTAACACCAGTTACTCTGTGGGCAGAGTAAGACAAAGTGTCACCATCGTTCCAATAGAAACTATCCTGTCAGGGAAATTTGACGGTTACCTCTGTGTCCTTATTTAGAATGTCAGATTAAAAAACAACAACAACCAAACAAACTTACTTTTAGTTTGGAACCTCAGCATGGCTCCATTTGAGGCACAATAATCTGTCTTTGTTATTTTACAAATGAAGACAAGGGACTTCTGTAGAACAAAGGGAACCAGAGTTGAGCACAATGGACCGCTGGTCTATCCCTACAAAGAAAGTGCCCTTTGAGCCCTTCTGGCTCTCCCTGTCAGAATATTCTCTCTCTTGAACTGGCCTGTAGAGATGATTTATACATGGCAAAGGAAGATTTCTCTAAGAAACGAGAACTTCCAACATAGACACTTGCAATTGTCTTCAGAGGCTGTTTTGTGTGTAAGTATAGCTGTTCATTTTAGTAGCACATTCGAGAAAAACTCAACATCTGTGTGACTCATGTCTATTGGGTAAAATTTCAGGCCTGAGGCAGGGACAGGGGGGAGCAGGTGGGAAGGCCGGGGCTGGCAAGGACTATAATCTCAGAGAAGCAAAGTCAAGTACTGAGGATCAGCAAGGGTGGGGCCATAGGCAAGTGTAGATAGACCCAGAGAGGTGTTTAAGAGAAGTCATTTCAAGTGGGGATCAGGAACCTGACTGGGGAGACAAGCTTAGACTTGAAGGTCAACTTTGACCTAGCAGAGATGTTGACCAATAAGGACCTAGTTCTTACAGTTATAATCATTCACATTATAGCATGGTGAAATGTTTGGCCAAGGTAGTCATATAATAAATGTTAATCACTGCTTTGAAGGTTGCAATATTTTTTGTCAGTCAAGTTTGAACTCCAGGCCTGGGCATTGTCTCTGAGCTCTTTTTGCTCAAGGCTAGTGCTCTATCACTTTAAGCCTCAGTGCCCCTTCCAGTTTTCTGGTAGTTAATTGGAAATAAGAATCTCATGGACTTTCCTCCCCAGGCTGGCTTTGAACTGCAATCTTCAGATCTCAGCCTCCTGAGTAGCTAGGGTTACAGGTGTGAGCTACCAATGCCTGACACAATTTGTTTTCTGGTGGTACAGTATTTGAATTCAGAGCTTTGTACTTGTTAGACTGGCACACTATTTAAGCTGTACCTCCAGTCTAACTGTTTGCTGCTTAGTTTGGAGATGGAGTCTTGCAGACTTTTTTGCCTGGGCTGACTTCAAATCAAAACCCTCCAGATGTGAGTCTTCTGAGTAGTTGGATTACTATGGGTAGCTGTTGTAAGCCATCAGCACCTGGCTCTGAGGACTGTAACTTTTGGTTACTCTGGGACCTGTATCTCAACTGTATGAATTGGTTTCTATACAGCTGCAATGATAGAAATATACACTACTAAAAACAAGTATGGGCTCATGAACTAAACTATAGGAGAGTTGGAGTTGGGCATCAGGGACAGTTGCTCCAGGCCAGGCTTTTTTCCCACTCTCATCTCTCCTGCATCTGTGCATTTGTCTTCTATCATTAATGGAAACATAGCAGCCCACACTCAGAGGGATTGAAGATCCACATGGAGAAGAATTCTGACTGCGGGGCGCCGGTGGCTCATGCCTATAATCCTAGCTACTCAGGAGGCTGAGATCTGAGGATCTCCGTTCAAAGCCAGCCTGGGCAGGAAAGTCCGTGAGAGTCTTCATCTGCAATAAACCCTAGAAAATCAAAAGTGGTACTGTGGCTCAAGCGGTAGAGTGCTTGCCTTGAGCTGAAGAGCTGAGGGACAGCGCCCAAGCCCAGAGTTCAAGCCTCATGACTGACCAAAAAAAAGAATTCTTACTGGTCCATTTGGGTCAGGTTCTCATCCTTTAGCCAAGCAAGGCAATGTGAGAAAATATGGCTGTTTCTACTTGAATTACATGCTGGGAAATGAGGTGAGACATTGAAAAGGAGAATGAAGGACTGAGGTGTTTTTTTTTTTTAATTTCTCATTATAGTCAGTAATAGTGATTGAACTTTGTGCTCTTGATTGGCTTTTTTGATCAACACTGGTGCTATGCCATTTGAACCATACCTCCACTTCTGGCTTTTAGTGATTAATTGAAGAGAAGAGTCTCAGGGACTTTCCGGCTTGAGACTGAGTATGTAGGATTACAGGTATGAGCCACCGATACCCAGCTTAGACTCCCTGAGTTTTGATCTTATTGGATCATCATTCTCTCATCCTCCTCCCTCTCCTGAAGCCTCAGTGTCTCCCTTGACCCTGGCCTTGACCTTTGCAGGGGCAATGAGGCTGCTTGATATGCTCTGTCACTCTGCCTCTACCAGGATAGAAGCATTAGGGAAATAGAGACAGTGGGTGATGGGAATCTGTTTTGTTCTCATAACCTCCTGATGCCTTCTTGGGCCACTGACACACACACACACACACACCTGGGGCCAGTCTCTGGGCCACTGACACACACACACACACACACACACACACACACACACACACACACACACACACACACACACACACACACACACACACACACACACACACACACACACACACACACACACACACACACACACACACACACACACACACACACACACACACACACACACACACACACACACACACCCCTCTGGGGCCAGTCTCTGAAAGATCTCACTTCTGGCCCTTTCTGGAGGTACACATTGCCCCTGGAAAGACCACCTGCAGCACTGCCCAATTTCACAACCAAACAGCTTCCTGAGTTTAGTATACTTAGACCCTGGCCCTTTGTATCTCTGACTCTGTTATTTGGTGCCTCTTTCCAGCTACAATTAAATCCTGGTCTGACCTGTTGAGTTCTCTGTCTCCTTTCTTTTCTTTTTTTTTTTTTTTGGGGGGGGGGGTCCGGTCATGGGACCTTGAACTCTGGCCTGGGTGCTGTCTCTCAGCTCTTCAGCTCAAGGCTAGCACTCTACCACTTGAGCCACAGCACCACTTCCGGCTTTTTCCTTTTTGCTTATGTGGTGCTGAGGAATTGAACCCAGGGCCTCATGCATACAAGGCAAGCGCTCTACCACTGAGCCACCTTCCCAGCCCTCCTTTCTTTTCGTGTATCCCCTTGATCTTTCCTACCAGTGGGCATTGTTGGGAAAGGGCTATGACACAAGGGCCCTGCAATCTCCAGGGCTGCAGGTCAAACTGCCCTCTCCTTCTCCACCTGGTTGAGAATGTGGAGGCCCTCCCATCCTGGAGTGGGTGAGTGAGGAAGTGGTTCAGGACATAGCACTGTATCTCCTCTCTCCTCAGGATGCAACATAGAAAATGCTTGCTACCCTCTGAGCGTGTGTGCTGAGCGGACTGCCATCCAGAAGGCCATCTCAGAAGGGCACAAGGATTTCAGGGCCATAGCTATCTCCAGGTGAGTGGGGCAGACAGGACAAAGTGACCCTAGTTCATCTCTCCAGTCACCACCCGCCATGTCCCGATCATTCTTCCACATGACATAGGTCTATTGTGCATTTTCTGTGTGCCTTGTGCAGGGATAGGACTCTGGGATGACTGCTATAAAGAGATAAATAAGAGGTGGACTTTGTCTTCAGTGAGCCTAATGAGCAGAAAAACAGCCAAGGCAACTCTGACACAAGGGCAGCTGTGTCCCTGTCCCCAAAACCCAACATTCAGAATCTTCACAAAGAAGTACAAAGCTGTTGGGTGCTGTCATCTCACACCTGTAATCCTAAACGACTCAGGAGGCTGAGATCTGAGAATCATGATTTGAAGCCAGCATGGGCAGAAAAATCTGTGGGACTCTTATCTCCAATTAACCACTAAAAAGCTGGAAGTGGAAGTATGCCTCAAGAGGTAGAGGACCTTGGGCTGGGAAGGTGGCTCAGTAGTAGAGCGCTTGCCTTGCATGCATGAGGCCCTAGGTTCGATTCCTCAGCACCACATAAGCAGAAAAAAAAAGTCAGAAGTGGCGCTGTGGCTCAAGTGGTAGAGCGCTAGCCTTGAGGTAAAGAGCTGAGGGACAGCGCCCAGGCCCAGAGTACAGGCCCCACGACCAGACCCCCCCCCCCCAAAAAAAAGAGGTAGAGGACCAGTGTTGAGTTAAACAGCTAAGGAACACACTTGTGAGAGGGTGCGGGACACACACACACACACACACACACACACAGCCCAAAGCTGGGGACCTAACCATCACCTGAATAGACTTCCTTGCCACCACATTTTACAGATGAGATCCAGAGAAGTTGAGCAACTTTCCTTGGAGTTAATGGAAGAGCTGGGACAAGATCCATGTCCTCCTGATGTCATTCACTTCAGAGTGCATATCTCTGCATCATGTTATGCTCAGAAATCTGACATTCTAGCTGGGCACCAGTGACTCATGCCTTTAATCCTCGTACTCACCAGGCTGAGATCTGAGGATCACAGTTGGAAGCCAGCCCAGGCAGTAAAGTCCGTTGAGACTCTTATCTCCAATTCACCACCAGAAAACAGGTAGCGGCATGGTAGCTCAAGTGGTAGAGTGCTTGTCTTGAGCTGAACAGCTCAGGGACAGTGCCCAGGCCCAGAGTTCAAACTCTAGGACCAAGGAAAGAAAGGAAAAAGGAAAGGAAAGGAAAGGAAAAAGGAAAGGAAAGGAAAGGAAGAAATGTGACATTCTTTTGTCCTTCCACGCTCTGTCTCTCTCTCTCTTCCTCTCTTTCAGTCTTCATAAGCCAAGATTCTCTTCTAGGTGCCAGAACAAGCTTGGTTAGGGTGGCATCCAGGAAGACTCTGACTGTAGCACAACCTGATTATAGACTCCAGCCAGGTTCTGGCTGAACAAGAACCTCAATCAATTCTCATACTCCAAACATAAATCCTATTTCTCAGAGCTGGAGCTCAAGAGAGCCTGCCAGGTCCTTGTGGGCCCTGCACCCCACAGACCCAGTGGCTTTAGGAATCAACCTTGGGAATGAACTATTTCACTAATTAGGAACCAACTTTTCTTTCCTTTTCTCTTTTGCCAATACTGGGGCTTGAACTCAAGGCCTGGGCACTGTCCCTGAGCCTCTCTGTGCTCAAAGCTAGCACTCTACCCCTTTGAACCACTTGTGGCTTTTTCTGTTTATGTGGTACTGAGAAATTGAACCCAGAGCTTCATGCATGCTAGCCAAGCACTCCACTACTAAGCCATATTCCCAGCCCTTGCTTGTTATTTTATTTGTTTATTTTTTTAATCTTTTTTGGGGGGGAGGGGTCTGGTCATGGGGCCTGAACTCTGGGCCTGGGTGCTGTCCCTCAGCACTTCAGCTAGCGCTCTACCACTCGAGCCATAGCGTCACTTCCGGCTTTTTTCTTTTTGCTTATGTGGTGCTGAGGAATCAAACCCAGGGCCTCAGGCATGCAAGGCAAGTGCCCCTTGCTTGTTATTTTAGAGATGGGATCTCATAAACTTCTATGCTCTTGCTATCTCTGGACCACAATTCTCTAGATCTCAGCCTCTAGAGTAGGTAGGATTAATGAGCCAGTAGCTCCCATGTAGATATTCTTCGGGGGCTTGAACTCAGGACCTGAGTACTGTTTCTTAGCTTTTTTGGTCAAGGTTGGCACTCAGCCATTTGAACCACAGCTTCATTCCCAGCATATGGTGGTTAATTGGAGATGAAAGCCTTGGTCTTTCCTCCCTAGGCTGGCTTCGAACTGAGATCCTTAGATCTCAGCCCCCTCAGTAGCTAGGATGACAGGTGTGAGCCACCGCTACTAGGCTTCCATGTGGGTTTTCTAGGACCCTAAACCTGCTGCAGTCTGACCCCAAGTGGTCCATGTTATTCAAGGCTTGTTTCTGAGTGATTGGAGCTAAGAAGGCACTTAGGGAGACATGCCTTGATTCTAGGAGTTGTCCTTGTGATGGAGGTTTGTCCTAGCTTCCTTTCAGCTTCCAGACAATACATGAGGCTGTGCTGGGAACATTTTGTGCAGATGAGCAGCAATCAGGATGTGACTGAACTTTATGGGGTAGTGGGGGAGAAAAGAAGCGAAATAACTCAATTTCAAAGATGATCCCCCAAAAAATAATGGCATTCTGGAGAAAGAAAGACCAAAGTCAACAAAAGGATAATGGCATAGTCACCTTACAAGCTAGAATTTTCCAAATGAAAGGCTTTTCTCTTAGTTATTATCTACTTTTAAACACGACTGGGTATTGCTAGCAATGATTAGCAAATGTCCTTATTTGCATAAAACTCACATTTTTCCCAGTACCCAACTGCTCTACTCTGAGAATTCAGCCTCATCTCTAGCCAAAATGCAATCATTATGGAGCTAGTGGCTTGTTAAATTGCAAATGGGGATTCGAGGAGGAATGGGAAGTGCCATCCTTGTTAACACTGGGCAAAGCTGAACAGTCTGAGCCTCTCTGAGACCCAGAAGGATGGAGAACATACTCAGGAAGGGACCCTGTGTGGGAAAAGCCAGGCTGGACTTCACTGGCAGAGAGATGAGCTGGCTCTGCTGGGGTCCCAGTGTGTCCAGCAGTTTGATGGCTTTCCAGCCCCTCCAGTTTGATAGGCCTAATAAGTGTGTGATCAAGATTGGCACAAGCCACAGATATCTTCAGCTTGCAGCAAATGACAGGATGGGATGAAGGGCACAGGGAAGCAATGTCCTTCAGCTTAAATCCACTCTTCTCATTGCTCCCTCTTGGCAGGAATGTAGGGGCATGGCTAAAAGCCCATGTTGAGGTTGGTGAGTCATGGCTTTCCAGGCCTTCTGCACTGTCCATTCTAGCTCTGGTGCTCAGGATCTAAGAGCCTGGGCTTTTATTGTGACATTCAGGAGAGGAACATGATTCCATCGACTGCCATGATACAATGAAATGACTTCTGTAGCATTCTTGCCATGGAGTATGTACCAAATTAAAACTATTGTGCAGTTAAAAGTCATGACTTCTGGCTGGGCACCAGTGGCTCACACCTGTAATTCTCGCTATTCAGGAGGCTGAGATCTGAGGATTGAGGTACTAAGCCTATCCAGGCAGGAAAGACTGTGAGACTCTTATCTCCAATTAACCATCAAAAAAGCCAGAAGTGGAGCTACAGCTCAAGTGATAGAGTGCTAGCCTTGAGTAAAGAAGCCCAGGCCCTGAGTTCAAGCCCCAGGATTGGAGGTGGAAAAATCAACAATACCAACAATACCAAAGGCAGAGTGCAAAGATTCTCAAATCCTGCTTCAGGTACTCAGGAGGCCGAGGCACGAAAATCTTGAGTCAAGGATAGCTTGGCAAAGTAACTGAGACCCTTTCTTGCTGTTGTTGTTATACCAGTACTGCGAATTTATTTATTTATTTATTTATTTTAAATTTTTTTAAAAAAATTTTTTTTTTTGGGTCCGGTCGTGGGGCCTGAACTCTGGGCCTGGGCGCTGTCCCTCAGCTCTTCAGCTCAAGGCTAGTGCTCTACCACTTGAGCCACAGAGCCACATCTGTCTTTTTCCTTTATGCTTATGTGGGTGGTAAGGAATCGAACCCAGGGCAGCAGGCATGCAAGGCAAGCGCTCTACCACTGAGCCACCTTCCCAGCCCCAAGTACTGCGAATTTAATTCAGGGACTGGGTTCTATCCCTTAGCTCTTTTGCTCAAGGCTGGTGCTCTATCACTTGAGTCATACCTCTACTTCCAGCTTTTTACTGATTAATTGGAAATAAGAGTCTTGTAGACTTTCTTGCTGGGGATGGCTCCCAACCGTGATCCTCAGATGTCAGCTTCCAGAGTAGCTGGGATTATAGATGTGAGCCACTAGTGACTACCAGCAACTGGCCTTAGCCTTTCATACACTTAACTCATGCTATTTTCTCACATTCCTTACAGGTAGATGATGTAATCACCCACAGATACAGGCAAAGAAACAAACATTGGAGAGCATAAGATGATTCAGAATCACACACAGGAAAACATATTGTTGACCAAGAAGCACCCTTTAAATCCCATGCTCTTCCAAGAGTTATCAAATCCAGAACACCCACCTGTGTGAGCAGCAGGCAGCAGGGAAGCCCTTAGAATTACACCTGCACTTTTGAGATGCCATCTTTGCCCTGCTCAGAGCTGGAGGATTGCCTGAAGAGGCTTATTCTCACAGGCAACCTCAGTATGTCTTAAGCTTTCTCAGATACCAGGAGGGTATTTTTGTCTTTGATTCACATGCTTATTCTTTTCATATCTCAGGGCTTTTGCATATGCTGTTTATTTCTTTTGCCTAAAGAACAACATCTCTGATACTTTAAACAACTGAACCTGTTTCCTTACCTGTAAAATGGCCATTATGCCACCCAAGTTGTTCGGAATATTAAATGAAATATGTCAGGTGCCTGGTATGAGGGTGATCACTAGATAATGATATATTGACTCTAACCTTTCTTCCAAGAATGGGGCCAAATACCACATCCTATAATCTATTCACTCTTGTCTCAATGACAGGGCTTGTCCCTTTTCTTTGTTCATACTCCATTTTGTTTAAAATCATGACTCATCTAGTGTTCTGTCTCCCACTGGGCTGAAGGCCAGAGCCAAGTTCTCCACCTCTTTCTCTGAGAGGGTGTGTGTGACAGAGAGTAAGTGCTCAATTAATGACAACAGACCGCTGCCTGTGGCCTAGCCTTGTGGAAGTATGGAGAGTTGCCAGATCACCTTCTTAGCCTCTAGGGCCCCAAGCTTGTGAGTCAGGATCTGCCTGGTGGGATCTGAGCAAACGCCCCAGTGCCTGGGGACAGACTGATCTAAGCTGCCTTCTCTGCTTCCGCAGTGACCTGCAAGATGACTTCATCTCACCATGTGGAGGCTGCAGGCAAGTCATGAGAGAGGTAAGAGCTCCTCTTCTGCCCAGAACAGAAACCTTGTGTCTCCTGGCCTTCCCAGGCACCAGAGCAACACTAAGCTGTGAGCAGGAGCACACGGAGACAGCCCCATCTGCTCAGCTGGTGATGCCTAGGCCTTTCCAGGCTTGCAAAAGTCACTGGAAATGAGTCCTTCCTCCAGCTAACACTTACCAAAGGTGTGTCATCATTGATGCCAGGCCCTGAGCCAGCACTGGGGACAATTCAAGCCAGGTCCTGCCTGCCCTCAGAGAGTTACAGGCTGGTGCAAGAAGCAGACAATAAGCAGGGCAAGAAATAAATAAGCAGCAGAGTTTCTGAGTGTGAAGAGTACAGAAGCAAAACCCCACAGGGCAGCCGGTCAAGTGAAGAGGGCAAAGGGGATGCTCTGGATCAGGAGTTGGAAGACTCCACTCCCCGCCTACCACTTGGTTGCAAAAAAAACACAGTCATGTCCATTCATCAGGGTACCTCTGTGGCCACCTTGGTTCTAGGACAGCAGAGTTGAGCAGTTGCACAGAGGTGAAAACCTGAAATATTGACATGTGGCCTTTGACAATGGTTCTTTGAGACTGGGTCTCTCTGACTTTTTTCCCTGGACTATTCTCAAACTGCAATCCTCCTTTCTCCCCCTCCCACATACCTGGGATGACAGGTGCATGCCACCACACCCAGCTGGGGCTTTTGGAGTTGTGCTGGTTGTTCCAGCTTTGACTTTCTGCTTTGGGGCTTCAAGGGATCTGAGGGCTCTGAACACCTCGTCTCCTGCTGCTTCTGCCAGTACTGCAAACCAGGCACAGTTTGTAAAGCTCATTTCTCAGATGCAGATGACAAACATTGCCAGACAGATGCAGCATTCACACACTGCAATGTGCATGACTGCAGGGTATACCCAGCTGCCCAGCAGAATGGTGGTATCTAAGGTCACAGAGAGAAATCACAATTTAGCACCCAGACTCTGGTTCCCAACACCCCAATGTGGGCGAATTGCTCTTTACTTTCTCCAGATTAGATGCTGGCATATGAAAAAGCTGGAGGAGAGAGAAGAGAGACTGAAACCAAATGAAATGATAAGAGATGGAGCCTGGGGGCCAGAATGGCGCTTAGTAGATTGGCCTTCTAGACTGGCCTGCACTTGGCTTTTGTCCATATCCTCAGACAGAGCCTGCCAGGCAGGAAAATTTCCCCTTAGAACATTAATTCTGAAATAGCCAGAAGATTGATGGTGTCTGGTAATGGCCTGGTGATTCAGACAGAAAGATGGAAAAATAGGCTGCAAACCTGAGCACTTGCAAGCAGCCAACTTAACAATCACAGTGGTTGCATGAACGGACAACCTTCTGTGCACAGGGTCTGCACTTGGATGTCTTCCACCAGTCAGCTCTAAAGCTCACCCTGCCTGGGCCAGGCAGACCCTGGGCCTGTTGATAACTCCAGGCTGTTTCCATGAGCCTACCATTGATTTAAGTCTCCTCAATGTATCAAGACACTGAATCCAGACTGGGCATGGTAGCTCATGCCTGTAATCCTAGCTACTCAGGAAGCTGAGAATTGAGGATCACAGTTTAGAGCCACAGCTTGAAGCAAATCTGTGAGACCCTTATCTCTAGTTAGCCAGAAAAAGGCCAAAAGTAGAGGTAGACTTAAGTAAAAAAAGCCAAATGAAACTGCGAGGCTCTGAGTTCAAGCCCTAGTATCACACACACACACACACACACACACACAGCCCCAAACATTTACCCAAGCAAAAAATTATAAATAAGGCTGAGAATAGTGGCTCAAACCTATAATCCTGGCTAGCTACACAAGAGGCAGAGATGGAAAGATAGAAGTTTGAGGCCAACCCAAGCCAAAAAAATAAAAATAAGGTTGGCAAGCCACCTCAATCACTAAGCTGAGTGTGGTAGTCTGCGTCTACAATCTTTTTTTTTTTTTTGGTCCAGTTGTGGGGCCTGAACTCTGGGCCTGAGCACTGTCCCTCAGCTCTTCAGCTCAAGGCTAGTGCCCTACCACTTGAGCCACAGCACCACTTCCGGCTTTTTTCTTTTTGCTTATGTGGTGCTGAGGAATCGAACCCAGGGCCTCAGGCATGCAAGGCAAGCACTCTACCACTGAGCCAACTTCCCAGCCCCTGCGTCTACAATCTTAACTGCTTGGGAGGTAGAGGTAGGAGAATTGTGATCCAAAGGCCAGCCCTGGGTAGAAGCGTAACACCCCAACTGAAAAACAAACTTAAAGCTGAAAGGGCTAGGAGTATGAGTCAAGTGACAGAGGCAAGCAAAAGGCTCTGAGTTCAAATTCTGTACAGCCAAAACAAATCACAAAGTAAATAAGTTATTTTAAAAATTATTTACCCAGGGAGCAAGTAATGCTCCTTAGATTATAGAAAGGTCAGGAGACAGCCGGGCACCAGTGGTTCATGCCTGTAATCCTAGCTACTCAGGAGGCTGAGATCTGAGGATTGCAGTTCAAAGCCAGCCCAGGCAGGAACATGTGAGACTCTTATCTCCAATTAACCCCCAGAAAACCGGAAATGGCACTGTGGCTCAAGTGGTAGAGCTCTCCTTGAGCTGAAGAGCTGCAGGACAGCGCCCAGGCCCTCAATCCCCACAACTGACCAAAAAAAAAATCAGGAGACATATTCAGCCTTGCTGACTTTACTCTGGGTAAACTAAAGCACAGAGAGGGGCATGACATGGTACACAGGAGAGCTAGACTCCTGTGTCTCTCTCTTTCTCTCTCTCTAAACCCTCTAGTCCTGCCTCAATCACGTTGACTCTGCTTCTTTTCCAGTTTGGCAGTGACTGGGCCGTGTACATGACCAAGCCGGATGGTACCTATGTTGTCAGGACAGTTCAGGAGCTGCTGCCAGCCTCTTTCGGGCCAGAAGACCTGCAGAAGACCCACTGATGGATGGCCAGAGAACACCCACTGCCTTGGAGAGCCAGGGTTCTCCCAAGGCCTAGAAGAGATAGCCCTCAGAACCATCATAAAGCCTGGGGTCATCTGACAAATGCAATTCAACCCTCCAAGGGCTGGGAGGTAACTTTTCCAGATGACACTCAAGCACCATGGATTTCACCAAGCCTGACCCAGAGCCCCTCCTCCAAATCCCTGCACCCTGGGAACCCAGACCACTGCAACCATCTTTAAAATACCAAGCCTGGCCTGCTTTCCCACCAGCCTCTCTGAGCTTTTGTCTTGTGCTGATCGTAAACATCACAGAGCATTCTGATTCAGAAGAACAGGCTTTCCTCATCTCTATTGCTGCTGGCAGCTTTTAAGAGGGACAGACAAGGTAGAAAGAGCTTGGCAAGTTCTGCTGGAAGACAAGACACCTCAGAACCAGGTGCCTTCTGGGTGGAGTCTGAGTCTGTGTGCTTCTTGCTCCCAGATGGGAGACCTGTAGGCTGGGCTGACTGGTGGTTCCCATCCTTATATAATTGACATCTGGGATGGCCCTCCAAGGCTCATGTGTTAAAAGCTTGGCACCAGCCTGTTGAACTATTGGGAGGTGGTGGACCTTTAAGAGGTGAGGCCTAGTGGGAGGAAGAGAGCTCCGTGGGGGCATGTCCTCAGAGGGGAGGGGAGGAACCTAGTCCCTTCCTCTTCCTATTTCTAACTTCCAAGTCATGAGATGAGCATGTTTTTCCTCTTGCCAGAAGTTGTGCTGCCTCTCCAGCCAGAGGCCTCAAGAGCAGTGGGTCCACCCAACCATGGCCAAAATAAACCTTTTCTTCTTATAAGTTGATTCTCTCAAGTATTTACTAAGGGATGAGAAGTTGACAACATACCATACATAGCCGATCCACACTAGACCCTGAGTGCAGTCCCTCTCACAGCTGTAAATGAGATTCTGTAATGCAAGGGAGAGGCAGAGGCTACAGTAAAGGTTTCTCACACGTGTCACATGCTTTTATTTTGTTACTTTGGTATGTGGCGGGGGGGGGGGGGGGGGGGGATGATACTGGAGCTTGAACTCAGGGCCTTATGTTCTTGTTCATATTTTTCACTCAAGGCTAGCACTCTATCACTTGAGCCACATTTCTACTTCCAGCTTTTTGATGGGTCATTGAAGATAAGAGTCTTACAGACTTTATCTGACTGGGATGGATCTGAACCGAAGTCCTCAGATCTCAGCCTCCTGAGTAGCTAGGATTACAGGTGTAAGACACCAGCACCTGGCTGTATCACCTTATACATCAAATATGCTAAATACTGTAGAGAGAAAATGTATATGAAACAGTCTCTGCCCTTGTGGAACACAGTCTGATAAGAGAGAAGTGCAGACAGATCTATTTTTTTTGCCAGTCCTGGGGCTTGAACTCAGAGCCTGAGCACTGTCCCTGACCCTCTGTTGCTCAAGGCAAGCATTCTACCACTTGAGCCATGGTGCCATTTCCAGTCTTTTCTGTTTACGTGATGCTGAGGAATAGAACCCAGGGCTTCATGCATGCTAGGCAAGCACTCTACCATTAAGCCACATTCCTGGCCCAGGTGCAGACAGATCTAATGTGCAGAATCTGCACTGTGATCCAGACAGTTACCATGTGTGGGCACAGTGGGGCATGTTTTACTCTGGAGTGTGAGGAAGATCTGTCTGTCTGTCTGTCTATCTTTCTCTCTCTCCCTTATATACATACAAAATCATGAGGACTGAATAGGGGAATGGGCTGGCCATGAGGCTGGCATTGTGAAGGGAGGAGAGGTGTTAAAACTAGAACTTCAGAGCCAGAAGTGGAGAATCAAGCCTGTAACCCCAGCTTCTTGGTAGGTAGAGATCAGGAAATCTCAGTTCAAGGACAGCCTGGGCAGAAAGAAGTTTTTGAAAATTTATGCCAACCAATGTCTGGGCACAGTGGCATAGGTGTCATCCCTAGGGACATGAAGAAGCACAAGTAGGAGAACCACAACCCAAGTTGGCTAGGCCATAAAGCAAGACCCTACCTGGAAGATAACCATTGTAAAAAGGGCCAGAGGCATGGCTCAAGTGGTAAACCGTGGCTTTTTCCTGACAGAGCTAAGAACCTGAAGGACAGGAAGTAGACAGGTAAACTGCCCTTTCACTAGCTCTTTACATTAGCATGTATGGATAAGTGTTCTACCTAAGAGGACTGTGGCTTTTCCACCCAGCTTATGATGAACCAAACTTATCTGGACAGCCTGATCATTACCACTGCTGTCTGCTTTTCATTAGAAATGCCAGGCACCGGTGTGGATCACAGTTCAAAGCCACAAGGAAAGTCTGTGAGACTCATCTCCTATTAACCACCAGAAAACCAGAAGTGGCACTGTGACTCAAGTGATAGAGTGCTGGCCTTGAGCTGAAGAGCTGAGGGACAGCGCCCAGGCTCAGAGTTCAAGCCCCACAACTGACCAAAAAAAAAAAAAACAAAAAACAAAAAACAAACAAGAAGAAGAAGAAGAAATGGCTTTGGGGGCTGGGCACCAGTGGCTAATGCCTATGATCCTACCTATTTGGGAGGCAGAGATTGGGAGGATCACAGTTTGAGGCCAGTTTAGTTTAGTGCCTTTTGTATGCTAGCGTTGGGATGGATTCTTGGGGACACAGCATGAAATAAGAAAGTCCTTGCCCTCATGGAGCTTTGTCTGCCAGTGGCAATGTAAGAGCTCAGCGACTGTAGTTTTTCATGACAACTGTCACTCAAGGGGGAGAAAGAGCAGGGAACCGAGGAGCAGATAGAATGAAATTTGCTTCAGAATGAGGCTGCCGGGAAAGGGGAAAGAATGGCACTTATCTGGCTGGGATGCTTGTTTAAAGTAGAGCATTTTCATTTTGCAAAACAGCTCTGAAGACCTAGGTTTGCAGAGCAGCACAGGCTCTATTCAATGCTGTTCTGTCTTCCAGAGCTCTGAAGGGGCTGGATCCCCATGGAAATAAACAGAAGCATGGTGGTCCTGCTGCTCTTGCCAGCTGCTGCCACTGCTGACGTCAACTGCGTGATCCTTTAGGATTTTTTTTTCTTTTTATCAATCATGAGGCTTGAACTTGGGCCTGGGCACTGTCCCTGAGCTTTTTCACTCAAGGTTAACGCTCTACCACTTGAGCTGCAATACTATTTCCACTATTGTGGTGGTCAATTGGAGATAAAAGTCTCACAGACTTTCCTGCCCAAGCTGGCTTCGAACCACCATCCACTCAGATCTTAGCCTCCTGAGTAGCTAGGATTACAGGTGTGAGCCACCAGCCTCCAACTTAGGATTTCTTTTGGCAGGGATAAGGACACACTATAATGATAGACTAAGGGACTTCAGTGGCAGCTGAAGCCAGAAAATGCTATGCAAAAATGAATGGGCTGGCAAGTTGCTCATGCTTTGCATGCATGAAGCCCTGGGTTCAATTCCTCAGCACCACATAAGCAGAAAAAGCTGGAAGTGGCGCTGTGGCTCAAGTGGTAGAATGCTAGCCTTGAGCTGAAGAGCTGAGGGACAGCACCCAGGCACAGAGTTCAGGCCCCACAACCAATAACAACAAAAAATTAATGGGGCAGGCTGGGAATGTGCCATGGTGGTACGGTGCTTGCCTAGCATGCATGAAACCCTGGGTTCAGTTCCTCAGTACCACATAAACAGAAAAAGGAAAAAGTGGCACTGTGGCTCAAGTGGTAGAGTGCTAGTATTGAGCAAAAGAGGTTTAGGGACACTGCCTGGGCCCTGAGTGCAAGCCCCAGGACTGGCAAAAAAAAAAAAAAAAAAAAAAATAGGGCTGGGCTTAAACCTCAGTAGTACAGCTTATCTAGGATGTGGTAGATCCCAAGCACTAAAAGAAAAAAAAAGATAGATTGATTCATTCCTACTTAGACACATTCATACATATACAGGAAGACAGATGAGGATAATAGCTGATAGATGTCCGATAATAGGAAAATAAATGGTAGATTATAGATGATTGATAGTCATAGAAGCATTATAGATAGAAAGTGATAAATGTTGATAGATGAGAGACAAGAGTGTCCTAATAAGTCCCACACATGTAACAGTTCCTATAGGATCCTATGAGCACAGAAGGTGAGCATCTACTCTGCTGACATAGTTTTTGATGGTTTGGTGAAGGAGGAGTTACCTGGGAAAAATTTTAAAACTCTGTGGCTGAAAATACGTGGTGTAATGGTTACATTGGTTGCCCATTGCTGGGTAACAAATTATTCCATACTTTTAGAAGTTTGGGTCAACCGATGCTTACTCTCTCACAGTGCCTGTGGGCCAGGACGTGGGGGCAGGGCTGAGTCTCCATATCAAGGTCTCTTACGAGGTGTCAGCTGGGACTGCTGTTTCATCTGAGGATTCAACGGGGGTGGATCACCCCTGCAAAGCCCCCCCCCCAATTGTTGGTATGACTTCATTCTCCATGAACTATCTCTTTTATTATGGGGTTCCTTGCTGTCTGTGGGGGCAGTTTACAACCTGGCATCTGGCTTCTCTTAGAACAGGCAAGCTAGAATGCAGGAGAAGTTGGACAAGACAGACACTGGTAACCTAACCATGGAAGTGAGGAAGCAACAGTCATTTTCTGCACAACTGTCCTGAGAAGCAAGTGGTAAGATCCAGCCCATGTGCAAGGGAGGGTATGGCACAAGAACAGAAGTACCAGGATGTCGGCATCTAACGATGTAGGAACTGAAAATTCTGTGTAAAAGGAAAACCACCACAACAACCAGATGAAGGTGTCAGGAGGGTCAGGAGAAGCAGGTGTTGTTAGCCCTGGAAAAAAGGGTGACCTGACTCTGAAGGAAACTGCCAAGGCTAGGCGGGGAGCTGCATGGCCAGCTTCATTGCTTAAGTGGTTTTTGTCTGCAAAATCAAGAAATAGTGATAGCTAATGATGTAAAGAAAACTGTCAGAAAGAAAAATAACTAAGTCAGGCATTGGTGGCTCATGCTTGTAATCCCAGCTACTCAGGAGGCTGAGATCTGAGGACGGTAGTTTGAAGCAAGCTGAGACAGGGAAGTCTGTGAGATTTTAGCATGAATTAACTACTAGAAAACAGGAAGAAGAACTGTGGCTCAAAGTGGTAGAGTGCTAGCCTTTAGCAAAGAAGCCCTGGCCCTGAGCTCAAGCCTCACAATTGATAAGAGAGAGAGAGAGAGAGAGAGAGAGAGAGAGAGAGAGAGAGAGAGAGAGAGAGAGAGAGAGAGAGAAAGGAAGGAAGGAAGGAAGGAAGGAAGGAAGGTAGGAAAAAAGAAAAGAAAAAGAAAAATAGCTAAGAGTAAAATAACAGGACATGGTTGCTTTCAGTGTGAGCCTATGTGCTGAACTCAGTGCTCTGTAAACATCTGTGCAATTTACAATTATTTCAGGAATAAAAAATATATGGAAAGGGGTTGGGAAGATGGCTCAGTGGTAGAGTGCTTGCCTTGCATGCATGAGGCCCTGGGTTCAATTCCTCAGCACCACATAAGCAGAAAAAGCCAGAAGTGGTGCTGTGGCTCAAGTGGTAGAGCACTAGCCTTGAGCTGAAGAGCTGAGGGACAGCTCCCAGGCCCAGAGTTCAGGCTCCACGACTGACTATATATATATATATATATCAACCTTCCAGATGCTTCCTCCATCTTTCTGCAGCCAGTCCCAAGCCTCCCTAGAAGAGCAACTAATGTGACTAGGCACAGCCCCTCCCTCACAGCTTACCCTAGGACATGAGCTTGCCCACTGAGGGCTAGTATTTCCAGAAGGCTCTCAGACAAGGACCAGAGACCTTGTAGACCCTTGTGTTGGGTACTGGGA